CCATAGAGATTGACTTTCTCAAAGTAAAGAAGGCCTGGGTTCACAGCCCACCTTCCAAGCCACCTAACTTCTCCAGGCTTGAGGTCACTCCCTAAGATAGAGGTTCTTAATCTGGGTTTTGAAGATCCCCCCCGGATCTGTGGATAAATTACAAGGAGTTTAGAGAGGAAAAAATAAATTATACCTGTATTTTCACTGAACTCTAACTGGAATGTACTATTTTTTCTATTATTAAAAAAATATTATTCTCAGAATGGCTCCACCAGACTGCCCAGGGGGTCAATTACACAAACCAGAGTCAAAGGACATCTGCTCTAAGACTCTAAGTTTCAGAGAAGGTGCTGACTTGCATTTAGGGGGCAGTTTGCTCACCTGGGAGTTCCCTATACATACAGTGTCATCAGAGATCCAGTCCCTATCCTAATCCCTTAACAGAATCATCAAATCTCCACTTGGAAGGGACCTCAAACATCTATTGAAATAAAATATTCCTCTGAAATATTTCCCCCAAACGAACAAACTTACTCCCTATGGCATCAACTGGTTCCACTTCTGGACAGCTCTCATTGTTGGACTGAATGGGCAGGTCCCTCTCTACCTTCCCAATTCCTCCTGGTTCTGCCTCTGGGGCTGAGCAGGACCAGGCTCAATCCTCTGTACTTGCAGGCAAGGCTTAGGTGCTCAAGCCCAACACCTCTAACTATTCCTTCTCCCACCATCTATCTCAAGAATAAGAGAAGCACTCCATAAACCTTGGAGAAGTTGGAGTAACAGAAACCATGATGCCCAGGCAGAGGGAGCCCCCAGCAGTGAGTAGGGCAGAACAGACATAACTCCCCTCCTCCAAGCTCCCCACCAACCCCCAAGGGCCTCTCATCCCGAGCCTGATTCCAGCTCCTTCATCTCCCACAGTTCTGGCACCACCCCACTGCCCCACACCCTGCACTGCCTGCTGTGCGACCCATGGGCAAGTCATATCTCAACTCCGAATCTGTTTCCTCCTCTATGAAAAGGAGATAACCATCCTTGCACCAACTCCCTCCAGTGTTGTGGATGAAAAGATGAAATGACCGAGGAGACAAAGGCTCTGTCTTCAAAGGTTATAGATGTGTTAAGCAATGCCTGGCAATTCCCAACAAAACCAGGACCTGAACCTTTCCTCACTTTAGAGCTGCACCTCAAGTACACGGAGAGACAGATTTTTATACATGAAAAAATATTAATCAAATGAGGTCAATTAAAAGGAAACAATACAGCATTAGGTAATCTGATTTCTAATTGGAGGAAAGATTAGGAACTTTCTTGTTGGTCGGGGGAGTCAATAGGAGCACTTCTCTGAATTCAGAAAAAGAAGTGTCCTATTCCTCCTATGTTTCTTTATGCAATCAAAGGTATGTGGAAACAATAACCTATTGATCTGTACAGGGCCACTTTTCAGAAAAGACATATAGGTTTCTTGAGATGTGGAATTGTGGGAAAACTCCTTGCATCAATCTTTGGATCTGACCAGGTTTATGGGCAGCATAACTTTGGTCCTTGGTTAAGGGTCTCTAAGCAGTGGGGGAGAGGTGGTCCCACTTCCCAGCCATGCAATGCTAGGTGCGAACAACACAATAAGGCTCTCTCTCTCAATTCCCACAGTTGAAACAAAGTTTTCTCCCAAGAGAGAATTTGGACTAGACTCATAATTGAACAGAAAGGGAGCTGAGCTAGCTCCAGAACTGAATCTCAGGAAGGAATCAGTGTCATTCACTCAATTCCAGAATATGTTACTTCTTGTCCTAATTCTCTCAATCCCTTCAATTCTCCCTTGTGATTCATGGTGGAGTGGAAAACTCGCTGTTGCCCTGGATGTCATATCTATAAGTTAAATGCATAAGTGTTTTCATAAATGCATAATCAGAATTATCTAAGTTAGGGAAAAAACAAACTACTTAGAGTTCATAACAATAGAATAATTTTTGAGAGGACAGGTTTACCTGTCACCAAGATAACCAAGAAAACTTTAGCATAAATATAAACTCCATGAAACAAGGTCTGAGCAAAACAATAATCTTGATTATCAAGATTAACTAAGTTCAAGTCTCCTTGCACCCTAGTAACCCACTCCCAATGTCCATTTAATCAGCAGATTTTGAAGCCCAGATGCCTCCTGTAACCTTCTGGTGCCAGCAAACATCTTATCTTGGACATTCTGGAAGAGGTCTCATTCTTGGGGCAGCTCTGAAGGGGGCTTTTTGTCTCGTTTCAAATCACTTGTAGAAGCTTCCTAGATAATTCTGCTAAAATCTGCCAGTAATAAAACTTTGTACAATTTAGTACAGTGTCTTAAATTTGGTTCTCCAACTCTGAAACTTCAGAGAATTTCAGCTTTACATATTACTTGTTGTTTCTTTCTTTACCTACATCCTGTACCTGACATTAGAATCTTCAAAAAATTCCTGAGGGTCTGATTTGTAAAATGAACTCTTCTATCTTTTCAAATTATGAAACAGGTGCTCTAAAAATGGGAAAATAGAATATTGTTTGGAGGGAAGTACTTTGCAAACTTTAACTCTCTCTAGAAATTGGAATTGGTCACATAGGCTATTTATGCCTGACCTGTGTTAGAGCTTTCCCAGCTCGTCTCGGTCTGTTCAGCCAGAGGTGGACACGCTGTACCTTGACCTTAACATAGGGATGTCATTTTAGTCCTCTTCAAGAAGGAAAGACCACAACCGGCTACAGGAGGAAGTACCTTTGGGAGTCCAGAGCCTAGAATTTGAGACTTCTGTTCTCCTTCCTGTGTCATGATCCTTATTCTATAGAAAAGGAAGCTGAGGTTCAGTGTGGGCAGGTGACACTCCTGGGTCACACAGCTGATAGGGCAGTGCCTAACACAGGTCTCTGCTACCTTCTCCTTCCTCAGAGGGTGTGACAGGGCAGCTAGAGGGGGTCTGGTAGGTCACCCATCCTCCTCTGGTTGATGCCCCTCCCCAGTGGGGTCTCTCTGACTGGTCTTAGTCATCCTTTCCCTCCATCAAATGACCATATGCTCTCTCTGAAGGAGGTATTGGGTGACTTGTCCTGGGTCTGCCCAACCTACCTAGGGAAGCCACTGGAGCTCCTCTAAGGCTTCATCTCCTTTCAGGACTCAAGTAATTCAGACTTGAACTCCTGTGTGCCTGCCCAGAGCCCCACCTTCACTTTGGGTTCTAAGTAGCTCCATCTACCTCTCTTAAATCTCTCTCTCTTCAGCGTTTTCCAACATTTGGGGGCAATGGGGTAACTGCTGTAGGTCAGACGCTGTCCAGCAGAATATAGGCAGGACAGCTCTGAGAAAAGCCTCCATCTTCAAGGGTATTTCACCCCATGGACAGAATTAAAATTCCTGTGTGAAATTTAAAAAAGGATTAAAAAGGTCCTGGGTGGGGATGGGAAGAAGGGAGTTGGGTACATTTAGAAGAGTTATGGTGACCCCTCCTGGATCATCCTAACACCTTAATAATTCAGTAAATAAACCAGTCCTGGGGCAGGGGGACAAGCACATCAACAGTCCCAGGGAAAGATATCGAGGGTCACACAATGTCCATCACAGCCCTTGGGGAGCAAGGTTGGATTTCCACTTAAAATCTGGGCAGGAGCCACATGGCCCCTCCAACTGGCACTCAGGGCACCCCTCTCATTTGTGCACTAATACCTGGAACTTGAATGGATTCCAGCCTTCTGATTGGTCCTTGAGGAGACAGGACTCAATGATCCACACTGCTCAATGCTCCAGAACTTTGAGTCAGGCTGATTGGCTCAGTATGGGCTGACCCAAGGGGAAATGAGGGCACCCAGCTCACCCTAAAGCTAGAAACTAGGTCCCTGGGGAGCTGGGAGGCAGGTCCTGACAGACTCTCTCAGAAGATGGAGAATCAATGTGTATGCGGGTGTCTGCGTGTGTGTCTCTGTGTGTATCTGTCTGTGAGAGTATTGTAGTGCGGTTTTTAGGAGGAAAACATATAAACTGGACAAGGATATGGGGTTTTGGAAAGTGGTCGTTTCATGATCACAGTGTAGAAGAGACAGGGGAGAAGAGATCAGAATAAGATGACAGTTGGTCCTCTTGGCTGCCCTGCCTCTGGTCAGGTTGCCTCAGTCTCTAGCCCAGACATCAACTCTCCCATGCTGTTCACTTAGTAGTGGGGCACCTCCAGTCCCTCTCTGTCTCTCTCCCACTGCTGGGCTCTGCTCAGGGAGAGTGAGTCAATGTGCACTCAGTGAACCTCGTCATCCAAGGCCATCATCTGACCCCAGAAACCAGGCTCAGAGAGGCACTAAGACCTGCCCTCAGCCACACAGCCAATTCCCAGCACAGACTGACAGGTGAATCAAGGGTGACCTTGGCAGATATGCTAAAGTAAAGGAACTCAGCTTCTCCTGCCCTTCTTTGGAGAAGGTTAAGGAAACCAGTGCAGCACAGATGTGAGGTCCCTTCCTCTTCTAAATCGATGGAGAATTTGAGGCAGGGTGAGGTTTGTTGGGTCCTGACAGTCTGGACCCATTCTCAGAATATGGTGTTGTTGTCATTGTTTTTTTCCATCTTGTGAAGATTTTAGTTTTTTAAATTTCTTTTTAATGTTCATTTTAAAAAATGTTGAGTTCCAAATTCTTCTTCCCTCACACCCTTCTCTTACACACTGAGAAGGCAAATAATATAGTTTCAATCAGAATGATGTTTTGAAATATGTAAGAAAGCACAGAGAAATAATACCAAAACCGGAAGTTAGTGAAAATAAAGATGTCTTTTTTTTCCTATACAAAATCTGTCCCAGAAACTCACCAAAAGACTATAGAGGTGAAGGGGCTTATCCAGGGTCACTCAGCCATCCTTCTGAATTCCAAACCCAGCCCTCTATCCCCCAGACAAGAATAACACAGAAAATGTCAGCGGTTATCAAAACTAACATATTTATTAGTAACAAGAGAAAGGTAAGAGTCAAGAATGGGGTCTGAAGGCAGCTTGATTGGAGGGCTCATTCGAAGGACAGCATTCTGAGCTTGAAGTCCTTAGTAATTTCCAAGAAGTTGATTAATTGTAAGTTAAGATGATTAGGGAAAGTGAATTCAGAGCCACCAGGCAGCTTCACTTTAAATTGCTTCTCTTCAAAGATTATGTAAATCTGAATGAGGAAAGGGAAGAAAGCATTGGACACAGAACCCTGGGCTTGGAAACAGGAAGACCTGGGTTCAAATTCCACATCAAGACATTCACTACAAGACACTGTGTGACCCTGGGCAAAGCATTTCTGCATTCTGAGCCTCAGTTTCCTATTCTGTAAAAAGGGGGGGGTCAGAGTAGTTGGCCCCGAGGTTCTCTACAGCTCTACATCTAGGGTCCTATTATGTGTCCTGGGACAACCAAGATTCTTATTCTTATTGGTACCCCAGCCCTTCATGACTCCCTCTCTATCCCCGTCCCACTCCAGCTCAAGGGATGCTGGGCTTTTTGTCATTGACATTTGGAAACCTCCTCTAGCTTTTCATCTTTTCCCCATCAGAGTCTGCTTCCAGAGCTCTTCTGTCAAGTGGAAGGGCTGTATGAGATCATCTCTTGGGTCTTTCCAGGTGGAACATCCCACGCTCTGATTCTGGGGTCTTACCTCTGCCCTGCTCCCTGGCACAGAGGGGAATTTTTTCACTTTTTTTTCCATTGCCCCACACGTAATCATTCCGGGAGCTGTAGACGATGATTTTGATATCATTAGCATGGCTGAAGTGTGTGCTGAAGTGCAGGCCAATATCACCATAGTCCTTGCCCAGCTCAATTCTAAAGCTGGGGATAGAGAACACATCTCCATCCTAAGCATGGGTCCTAGAGTCTTGGAAATCTAACACTCAGAAAATCCTGATCAAGAAGACCTCCAAAGAACCGTCACCCAATCCTGACCCGAAGCACTATGGCTTCTCTTCTGCAGCACCCCTCCTACTCCCACCCTGTTTAACAAGGGACTGTGGTACCTATTTTACTACCCCAAGAGACAGAGAACTCACTACCTAGCCAAACTGTCCACTCTAGCTACTGGGACAATTTTCCTGATGCTGAGTCCTAGCTCTGCCATCTAAGGATACGTTAAAACCAGCTTGGTGCTTCAAGCAGGGCATAAAGGATTCAGCTCTCAGCCACGGCTACATTTTGCCTCATCCTTCCCATCTCCCACTTGCGGTTTAGTGTCAGGTGCAATATCTCCCACTATTTTGATTCGGACTTCAGGCTGGAGGTTCAAGTTCGTGGCAACAATGTGCTAAAAAGACCAAGCATAGCAAAGTTAGTGCTGCCTGGGGGCCGGGGGGACCCAGAGCTTTCAGCTGGTCCAGGGCCACCCTTGAGGAAGGTTCTGGGAAAGTAGATTCTCCCCAGACTAGTTCGTGCTGCAGTGGCAGTCAGTCCCAGCTCTGTGACCTTGGGAAAGCCCTTTCATGTCTCTGGGCCTCAGTTTCCCCATCCTTTAAATCAGGAAGTAGCTTAGATGATTGATGCAGTCTACTCCTCATTTTACATATTGAGAAACTGAGGCTCCAAGAAGCAAGAGGTGACCTATCCCAGGCCCCACAAGTGAGCGACAGAATCAGAAGCAGAACCCAAGTTTTTCCTGGGTCCCAGGCCCACGCTCTCTCCAACCCAATGGCTGCCCCAGTGCCATCTTAGGTTCAAATTCCATATGTCCTGGCACTTGGGCAAGGATGAAGGGGGAAAGGAGAGCAATTGTGCTAACCCAAGGGTAGGAGACAGACTATAGCTCAGTGGGGAAACTCCCCCGTAGCCAGGTAAGTCTTACCTTGCCTCCCCCCACACTCCCCAGCTGTTGTTCTGTCCTCCTGCAAATGCTCCCAGGGCTGCCCTCAGCTCATTAAGCAGGGAAGGAATTCCTCCCCAGAAAAGTTTGCAGGAAGAGCTTCTCCAGATCTAAGTCCTGGTCCCAGTCTAGGGCAGGAGCCAGCCATGCCCAGGAGAAGGGGAGCTGGCAAGGGAGGGGGAGGTTCAGAAAGAATGGGGAATCGAGGGTGACTTGGCAGAAATAAGGGAAAGGAGCTTAGCTTCTTCTGTGCCCCACCCCTTTGGGAGATCGGTAAGGGAACCAGGGCAGCACAAGTGTGTGGTCCCTTCCCATCCTGAATCAATGGAAAATTAATTAGGGGGCAGGGTGAATGGAATCTTATGAACTAATTTTCTAGAAAAGAGAGAAATAGTGTATTTGTGAGATCATTTGGGCATTATTTTAAAGGGGTGGAACTAGAATTAGGAAAGACCTGAGGAATCATGTGCCCCTATGGCCTACCTGATCTGCCATCTCCTTCCTTTTCCCTTTCCAATGGAGCCTTCTCAGCCTGGACTCTTTCGGTACCATCAGGCTGGGTTGGAGTTAAAACTCTAAGACATTCATTCCAGAAAATATGATCCTCTGGCAGAAGATTCAGCTGTACTCACCCCACTCCCACTCTTCTTCACTTTCCACTCAAGGAAGGGCATTCCTCCACATCCTCCCCTCAACCCCATCGAGACATTGCCCCTCAGAGCCAGGGGACCCCTGACCTTAGTCCATGCCTCTTGCTCACCTCTCGCCAGGATCTCTTTGTACTTAGCTTGTCAAAGACAAGTCAGAAGGAGAAGGGCATGAAAGGGGCAGTTGGTCCAAGGCCTGGGGAGGTCAGGTTGGGGAGAGTTGTGGTAGAGCATCCCCACCCTCTCTTGAACACACCCTCCTTGAGTCTCCCTGATTTTTCCAAGCCTCAATTCTAGAGGATCCCCCACTTCTGGACCCTCAGCCTCCATCCTGGACAAGATTCCCCTCAGCCCATACCTTGGCCATGATGGAGGATGAGAAACTCTCCTGAGGTTCTCCTGACTGTGCTGGGTCCCTAAAGAACTATGTACAACTCCAAGCTGGAGATGGTAACTTGGGGAGGTGTCCCTTCAAATAGAGGATTGGTCTCCCGGCTTCTGCTGAGTCCCCACCCCAACCCCACCCCAGCCCTCCTCTCTTGAACTTTTCACCCAAACAGAGCAGAAAAGGAGAGGAGGGCATGTCTCAGGGGCTGGACTGGCTGAATTTTTAAAGACTTTCTTGGAGAGGCAGCCAATCCAGGAAGAGATAACCCTTAGGTCACACCCTCTGCTTGTCAAGCTCCATCCTTATCTAGCCTTTTACCCCACATCCAAACCCTAAAAACTCTCCTTTGGGGAGTGGTGTTGGGTCAAGTGATAGATTTATTGGGGGGATCCGATGAATACTACTCTTAGAATGAGCATGAACATGATATTCTCAGGAGGTCAGGTGGAGGGAAGGTCATGCTTTGGTCTGGATGAGAGCCAGCCCCCTGGTCTCCAAATGGTCCATCTGAAGTGGGAAATCATAATCAGAGGATTTCATAGCATTGAGGGACCTAAGAAAGCATCTGGTTTCTTAACCAGTAGGGAAACTGAGCCCCTTGGGTAAGTTGGGCAGTGAGGAGCTGAACCAGGCATTGTACCCAGGTCCTCTGACTCTCTAGTCCAGTACTCTTTCCACCATATCACATCGTTAAGCATCCATATTTTATAAACAGGCAAAATGAGATGCAGGGTAACTTACCTAGGTTACAAGGGAGTAACTTCCCCAGGATGGTGGTTTACTGAGTTTGAGGTGGTTCACTGAAGAATGAGGTGGGCAGGAGGAAAGACTGGGGTCAGCTTGGTATCCATTTGGGATGAGGAATCGATGAATTTCTCCAATATCTTTGGACACCTCCCCAGGGGTGCTTGGGTGCCTCCAGCCTTACTGATCCACTTTGGAGGTCCCCCAAGCCTCAAATTATAAAGAGAGAGAGTCTGGCAAGGTGCCTAAAGCTGGGGTTGTGGCTTTCTGACCTGATGTCAGAAAGTACTCTCTTCTCTGTCTGTATCATGAGACTGGAGGAAGACAGGCTGAGGTTCCTCAGAAAGTCCTGCCAAGAAAGCTCAAAGAAGGGAGTGGCAGGGATCCCAATGGGCCCCCCGGTGCTGCCAGAGAATGGGACCCAGGCCATTTCTGGTCACTGCCAGAAAAGGGGTCTCAGAGAAACCTTTGACACAGCCTCTCCCACAGACCCATCCCTGGACTATGAGACCCACTGAAACAGAGGTAGTCAGGGTTTAGAGGGCCCTGTGATGGTTGAGAGAGGGGATAAGGGAGCAAGAGCCCCTTGAGGGAAAAGAAGAAATCTTATTATCTTTCCTGTTCTTACACCCATGTCTCTTATTCCTCTTAGGAGGGGGACCTGAAGGCCAGGACCTACAGCTACTTGTCACTTCAATTCTCTGATCCTCAGTTTGCTCATCTGTAAATTGAGATCCCAATAAAATTAAAAGTAGGGCATCATACTGGATAGAGATAGACCCCCCCCCCCCAAGGTCAAGAAGACCTGGGTTGAAATCCCACCTCCCAAGTCAGCTAACATCTCAGGGCTTGAGGTCACTCCCTAAGATGGGGGCTCTTAATCTGGGGTTCACAGATCTCCCTGGTGTCCATGGATAGATTACAAGGGATTTGTGAATTTGGAAAGGAAAAAAAGAAATTGTATCTTTATTTTCACCAAACTTTAAATGAAATGTACTATTTCCTTCTACTATTAAAAAAAAATCACATTTTTTTTTTCTCGGAAGGGCTCCACCAAACTGCCCAGAGGTCAATGACACAAACTAGTCAAAGAACTTAGGCTTTAAGACTGTAAGTTTTAGAGAAGGTGCTGACTCGTATTTGGAGGGAGGAGTTTGGTCACCTGGGAATTCCTTATAGGTACAGTGCCATCAGAGATCGGGTCCCTGTCCTAACCACTAACAGAATAATCAGATCTTCACTTGCAAGGTCCTTCAGACATCTACTGAAATAAAACTTTCTTCTCAAATATTCTCTCAAAGCTGTCATTTAGGTTCCCTTTGAAGACCTTCAACAATGGGAAACTCACTCCCTATGGCATCAACTGGTTCCACCTGTGCACAGCTCCCATGGTTGGATTGAATGGACAGCTCCCTCTGCCCCTTCCCAAATTCCTCCTGGTTCTGTCTCGGGGGCTGAGCAGGACCTCCTGTAGGACAGCCCATCCATCCTTGCAGGCAAGGCTCAGGTGCCCAAGCTCAATACTACTAACTATTCTTTCTCCCACCATCTATCTCAAGGGTAAGAGAAACACTCTGTAAACCTTAGAGAGACTGGAGTAGCAAAAACCATGATCCCCAGGCAGAGGGAGCTCTCAGCAGTGAGCAGGGCAGAACGCAGCTCCCCTCCTCCAAGCTCCCCACCAACCCCAAGGGCCTCACATCCCGAGCCTGATTCCAGCCCCTTCATCTGCCACAGTCCTGGCACCACCCCACTCCCTCACCCCCTGCATTGCCAGCTGTGTGACCCGTGACCAAGTCATATCTCCACTCTGAATCTCAGTTTCCTCCTCTATAAAAAGGAGATAACCATCCTCGCACCAACCCCCTCCCTAGATGTTATAGATGAAAGATGAAATGAACCGAGGAGACAAAGGCTCGATCTTCCAAGCTTATCAATGTCTGAAGCAATGCCTGGCAATTGCCAATAAACCAGGACCAGGCCCCTTCCTCACCTTAGGACTGTACCCCAAATAGAGGGGCAGACAGATTTTTATATATGAAAGACAATGAATGAAATGAGGCCAGTTAACTAAAATGAAATGATACAACATTAGCTAATCTGATTTCTAATTGGAGGAAAGATTAGGAACTTTCCAAGTTGGGAAAGAAGGAGTCGACAGGTGCAAATCCAAAAAAAAGGGGTGTCCCACTCCCCACAAATGTCTTCATACAGTCCATGGGACGTGGACACTAGCTGATCAGGACAGGGCCACTTTGCAGAGAAGATGTCCTGGTTGCTTGAGACGTAGAATTGTGGGAAAACTCCTTGCATCAATCTTTGGGCCTGACCAGGTTGCTGTTCAGCAGAACTGAGGTCCTTAGTTAAAGGTCTATAAGGAGCAGGGAGAGGTGGTCCCATTTCCCAACCACACAGGGTTGGGTTCAAACAATACAATAAGGCTTTCTCCCAATTCCCACAATTGAAGAAAAGTTTTCTCCCAAGAAAGAATTTGGATTAGACCCATAATTGAATAGAAAGGGAACCGGGCTAGCTCCAGAACTCAATCCCAAGATGGAGTCAATGTAGTTCACTCAATTCCCAGAATTAATCACTTGCTGTCCTAATCCCCTCAATCCCCTCAATTTCTCCTTTTGATTGATGGTGCAGCGGAAAATTTACTCCTCCTCTGGATCAATTATCTCTAAATTAAACTCGTAAGGACTGTGGTAAATTAATAATCAGAATCTCCCAAGTCAGATTCTAGATAGAACTCCTCAGAGGGCACACAGTAGACTCATGTTGAGGAGGGAGATTGATATATCACCAAGGTAAGCAAGAAAACTTCAACATAAACATAAACTCCATGAAACAAAATGCCAAAGCAAAACAATAGTGATCATTAGTATTAACTAAGGTCAAGTCTCCTTGGACAGTAGTCATCCACTCCCAATATCCATTCCATCAGTAAATTTTGAAGCCCAGATGCCTCCTGTAGCCCTCCGGTGCCAGCAAATATCTTCTCTTGGACATTCTGGAAGAGATCTCATTCTGAGGGCAGCTCTGAAGGAGGCCCTGTTTCTGTGGTTCCAAATCATTTATAGAAGGTTCCTAGATAATTCTGCTAGTAACAAAAACTTCACACAATTTAGTATAGTGTCTTAAATTTGGTTCTCCAATCCTGAAACTTCAGAGAATTTCAGTTTTTATATACTACTTGCTGTTTCTTTCTGTACTTGAATCCTGTACCTGACATAAGATTCTTTAAAAAATTTCATAAGGGTCTGACTTGTAAAATGAACTCTTCTATCTTTTAAAGTTATGAAACAGGTGCTTTAAAAATGGGAAAATAGTGTTATTTGGAGGGAAGTACTTTGCAAACTTTAACTCTCTCTAGAAAAAGGAGTTGGTCATATGGACTATTTGTGCCTGACCTGTGTTAGAGCCTTCCCAGCTTCTGTGAATCTGTTCAGCCAGAGGGAGACACACTGTACCTTGACCTGAACATAGTGCTGTCATTTTGGTCCTCTTCAGAAAGAAGAGCACAACCCACCAGGGGAGGAGGTACCTTTGGGAGGCCAGAGCCTTGAAACTGACACTTCTCTTCCCCCTCCTGTGTCATGATCCCCATTCTACAGAAAAGGAAGCTGGGGCCCAGTGTGGGCAGGTGACACCCTTGGGTCACACAGCTGGCAGGGCAGTGCCAGGATCCTAACCCAGGTCTCTCCTACTTCCTCCTCCCTCACAGAGTGAGTCAGGGCAGCCACAGGGAGTCTGGGAGGTCACCCACCCACTGGTGGGTGCCGCTCCCCAGTTGGGGCACTGACTGGCCTTAATCATCTTTTTCTTTTAACAAATCACCATATGTTCTCTCTGAAAAAGGTATTAAAGTAACCTGTCCTGCATCTGCCCAGTCTACCTAGGAAGGCTACTGCAGGCCCTCTAAGGCCAAATCTACCTTCAGGACTCATTTTTTAAAAATCTGAGCTCCAGTGTCCCTGCCCATAGCCCAGCCTTCACTTTGGGTTCTAGGTAGCTCCCTCTGCCTCTCTCAAATTTCTCTCTCTCCAGGGTTTTCCAGCATTTGGGGGGGGGATGGAGTAACCACAGACACTGACCAGCTCAGACACTGGGCAGGACAGCTCTGAGGAAAGTCTCTATTCCCAAGGGTACTTCACCCCATGAACATCTACAAAGGAATTAAAATTTACTCAGGCCCACATTCCTGTTGGGGGTAGAAGGGATGATTTGGCATATTTAGAAAGGTCATCGTGACCATCCTAACACTTTGATAAATTAAGTAGTAAATAAACCAGTCTTTGGGCAGGGGGACAAGCACTTCAACGGTCCCAGGAAAAGAGGTCCAGGGACCCACTATGTCCATCACAGCCCTTGGGGAGCAGGGTCCTCTTTTCGCTTAAAATCTGGGCAGGAACCACATGGCCCCTCCAGCTGGCACTCAGAGCACCCCTCCCATTGGTCCACTAACACCTGGAACTTCAATGAATTCCAGCCTTTCGACTGGTCTCACAGGAGACAGGACTTAACAATCCACAATAGTTGTTATTCTAGAACTTTGAACCAAGCTGATTGGCTCAGTGGATCCAGGGCCCCGAGCTCAACCCCCTGGAGTGTGTGTGTGTGTGTGTGTGTGTGTGTGTGAGAAGGGAAGCCCCTGAACCAGGCAGAACAAGGGGGTTGGGGAATCAATGGCACAGAGTGTTGCAATAAAGAGCCCCTTAGGATCATAGATTCAGAGTTGGAAGGGGGCTCAGAGGTCATTTAGTCTAACACTCATTTTTTACAGAGAAGTAAACTGAGGCATCACTTTCCCCCAGAGACGTAATTCCTGGGTCTAAAAGAGAGAAAGTGGAAAGAAAGAAGAGAAGTTAAGGCAGCATCAACCAAGTCAGAGCCGAGAGAAGGGGGAAGTAGAAACGTGGCACCCAGTAGAGGTGAGCAGAAGGCAATGGGGGGAGAGGACACCTCGCCCAACCTGAAGGGAGGACAAACAGCTAAGTCCCTTGGGGAGCTGGGAGGCAGGTCCTGACCTACTGACCCAGGAGATGGAGAATCCCTCTCTCTCCCTCTCTTCTCTCTCTCTCTCCTCTCTCTCTCTCTCTCTCTCTCTCTCTCCCCCTCTCTCCCTCTCTCTCCCTCTCTCTCTCTCTCCCTCTCTCTCTCCCTCTCTCTCTCCCTCTCTCCTCCTCTCTCTCTCTCTCTCTCCTCTCTCTCTCTCTCTCTCTTCTCTCTTCTCTCCCTCTCTCCTCCCTCCCTCTCCTCTCTCTCTCTCTCTCCTCCTCTCTCTCTCTCTCTCTCTCTCCTCCCTCTCTCTCTCTCCCTCCCTCTCTCCTCCCTCCCTCTCCTCTCTCTCTCTCTCTCTCTCTTCTCTCTCCTCCTCTCTCTCTCTCCCTCCCCTCCCTCCTCCCTCTCTCTCTCCTCTCTCCTCTCTCTCTCTCTCTCTCTCTCCTCTCCTCCTTCTCTCTCTCTCTCTCTCTCCCTCTCCCTCCTCTCCCTCTCTCTCTCTCTCTCTCTCTCTCTCTCTCTCTCTCCTCTCTCCTCCCTCCCTGAGCACTGGGTAGAAGAGATCAGAATAAGAGGACAGCCCTGCCTCTGGTCAGGTTGCCTCAGTCTCTAGCCCAGTCTCCCATGCTGTTCACTTAGTAGTGGGGCACCTCCAGTCCCTCTCTGTCTCTCTCCCGCTGCTGGGCTCTGCTCAGGGAGAGTGAGTCAATGTGTACTCAGTGAACCTCAACACCTAAGGCTACCATCTGACCCCAGAAACCAGGCTCAGAGAGGTACTAAGGCCTGCCCTCAGCCACACAGCCAATTCCCAGCACAAGCTGCCCTGGAACCTGGCTTTCATCTTTGCATCTCCAGGCATCCAGAGGCTCTTTTCACTCAGGGCTGGGGGCTGCATCTCCTTCCTCCCTCTGACACTGGGCCTGGTGTAGAGTGAGTGACCCCCAAATATTTGTGGACTGATCACCCCCCTTCTGCTCTGGGGAGCGTGGATGTGGTGAATGGGGCTCTTCCAGCCAACCAGCCCTAGGGCCAGGTCCAGACCCAGGAGTGGTAAGCCCATCTCTGAGCATGCCCTGTGGAGGCCTGGCCTCTCTTTCCGAGGACTTACAGTATTGTTCATAGTGTGGGCTCATTCCATGGTGATACAAAACCTTTGAATTGGTGATCAGCCAGAGCCAGTTATGCTTACCAAATGCTTGAGAGCTGGTCTCTTGCTTTCTCCCTTGACTGGCTGGAAGAAATACTGGAATTTATTATACTTCGGAGGAGGAGAGGAAAGATCAAAGGCTCACAGAAGGGACAGCAGAGGCCTTGTGGTCCAACTTCCTCATGTTACAGAGAAGGAAACTGAGGCAGGGAGAATGACTTGAGCCTATAGGAGCATAGGTGTGGAGAGCTGGAAGGACCTTGGAGGCCAAGCTCTTCATTTTACTCCTGAGGAAACAAGCCCAGGGACTTCTCCAAGGTCATCTAGGCAGTCGGGATCAGAGGTCAAATTCAAACCCAATACCTCTGACTCCAGAGCCAGTGAATGTCTTTCCGCTCTCCTCCCTTCTTGCCTCCAGATGCCTCTGAGCTTCCTTAGGCTGATCCTCAAAGGGACACAGTGCTTCCCTGGTTTGTATTCAGCACCTTTCCAGCAGCTGGGCTTGCTCCCCGTCTGTGCTCTGGGCCCCTTCCTTCACTAATATTCAGAGGTTCCCCTGCAGTTACTGCTGTGGGTAATCCCCTCCCCATTGCTAATCAGGGACTGTGGTGGCTTCTAAGGGCTTGTCATCTTTTTTGTGTTATGACCTGGGCTCCGGACAGTCTGGGCAAGCCCTTCTCAGAATAATGTGGGGGTTTGTGGCTGTTTTTTTTTTCATTTTTGAATTTTTTAAATTTATTCTTAAGATTCTTTTTTTATCTTTAATTTCAAATTCTCTACCTCCCTCTGACCCTTCTCCTATACAATTAAAAAGCAAGTAATATGGTATCGAGTAGAATAATGTTATAACTATATTAAAAATGCAGAGAAATACTAGTATTGCGGTTTCATGGTGTGTTGTGGTGGCATTGTCTCAAAGAATTCAGAGTCAGGCCTCCTCTAAACCAGGTACAGGCATTTATTGAGGATTGATGCCACTCAGAATTGGGCTAGGTTCCAAGGGGAACCAGAAACTTAGTAAGACAACACAGGCAAATTCATAGTGTAATGATGGTGATGACACAACAGAAACTATGAATATTAAAAAGGCAGCAGGAGGGGTTTGGTAAGGGATCAGATAATGGGAAGGGGTCCTTTCTGTGGCTCAGTGGTCAAATGTCCTGGTCTTTCTACTTTCTGATTGGCCAGCTATTGTGGTCCTGTCTGGTCAAGATGGCTAGTTAGAGGAAAATGATAAATGTTGGAGAGGATGTGGGAAAATTGGAACACTAATACACTGTTGGTGGAGTTGTGACATGATCCAACCATTTTGGAGAACAATTTGGAACTATGCCCAAAGGGCTACAAAAATGTGCATACCCTTTGACCCAGCAATAGCACTTCTAGGGCTATATCCCAAAGAGATCAAACAAATGGGAAAAGGACCCACATGTACAAAAATATTCATAGCAGCTCTTTTTGTGGTGGCAAAGAATTGGAAATGGAGAGGATGCCCATCAATTGGGGAGTGGCTGAGCAAGTTGTGGTATATGAATGTAATGGAATACTATTGTGCTGTAAGAAATGATGAACAGGCTGACTTCAGAAAAACCTGGAAAGACATATATGGTCTGATGCTGAGTGAAGTGAGCAGAACCAAGAGGACTTTGTATACAATAGCAGCCGCGTTATGCAATGACTAAGAATGTTAAACTGAACCCTTCTCAGCATTACGAGGATCTAAGACATCTCCAGAGGCCTCGGGATGGAAAATGCTGTCCACATCCAAAGAAAGAACTATGGAAGGTGAATCGCTATCACTTATTTTTACATTCCGTTGAGTTTTGTTTCCTCTTTCTGATGGTTCCTCCTATTGGTTTTAATTTTTACTTACAACTTCACTAGTGTGAAAATATGTTTAATGGGTATGTAAAGGTAAAGCCTATGTCAGATTGTGCACCATCTTGGGGAGGGTGGCGGGGAGGAAAAGGAGAAAAATTTTCAACTCAAAAGCATATGGAAAAAAAAACTTAAAAAAAATAAAAAAGATGGCTAGTTAGGTGTTGTGGTCCTGTCTTGGGCTAAAATGGATGATGTGATTGTGGTTGAGTATAAGGGCATACCGGTTCAGATATGTGAATTAGATCTGGGGACAGAAGCTAGCTAGGGACAGTGGCTGTATTGAGCCTGGGGGCTTGTGATGTAGTTAAAGCCAGATTGTGTGGTTAAATCAGGATATGCCTGTTGTTCAGTGGGGCTCATAAGGAAATTGAAATATTGGGGCTGGCGGCAGCTTTATTAAGATCGTATCATTAGGAAAACCAGAAGTTAGTGAGAATAAAGATGACATTTTTTCCCATCTGAAAATTATCCATGGACTCCAGGTGGAGAACCCCTGTTTTAGAGAGTCCCCAAAGGACTGTTGAGGTAAAGGGGCTTGTCCAGGGTCACTTAGCCATTTTTCCCAACTTCAAACCCAGCCCTCCATCTCCCAGACCAGAACAACAAAACCGATGTTGGCTGTTATCATCATCAGGACTTTTATTAGTAAAAACAGGGCCCCAAGAGGCAAGAATGGTCTGAAGTTGGCTTGCTTGGAGTGCTCATTCAAAGTCCACCCTTCTGACATAGAAGTCACCATAAACAGACAGGAAGTTGATTTCTTCCATTTCAAGGCGATTGGGGAAAGTGAACTCATGGCCATTAGGCAGTTTCACTCTAAACTGCTTCCCTTCAAAGATAAAGTTTACCTGAAGGGGGAGAGGGCAGAAGGAGCTGAACCCAGAAACCTGGGCTTGGAGACAGGAAGATCTGTGTTTAAATTCCTCCTCAAGACACTTTCTGCAAAAACACTGTGTGACCCTAGGCAAAGCATTTCTGCATTCTGAGCCTCAGTTTCCTATTCTGTAAAATGAGGACATCAGACTAGAGGACCCCTGAGGTTCTCTCCAGCTCTAAATCTTGGGTCCTATTATGTGTCCTGGGACAACCAAGAGTCTAGTGTTATCCTATTGGGACCACAGCGGTTCATAACTCCCTCCCTTTCCTCATCCCTCACTCCAGCTCTAAGGATGCTGGGCTTCTGGCCACTGACTTTTGGAAACCCGCTGACCCCTGTCTCCTCTAGCTTTTTATCTTTTCCCCATCAGAGTTTGCTTCCAGGGCTCTTCTGTCAAATGCGGGGGGGGGAGGGGATGAAATCATCTCATGGGTCCTTCCCAGCTCTAATATTTTATGCTCTGATTCTCTGCTCTTACCTCCACTGTGCGCATATCTTCAAAGGGGAAATTGGTTTCCCTTTGCTCTGCACCCCAGCGGTCACCCTTCCTTGAGTTGCAGACAATGACATTGTGATCACCAATATAGTTGAAGCGCGGATTGAAGTGCAGGCCAATGTTCTGTTCATCCTTGCCCAGGTTTATTCTAAATCTGGTAATTGAGAAGACATCTCCATCATTGGCATGGGTCCCAGAGGGAAAGCCCCTCTGTGAGAGTGCCAGATAAGAAGACACCCCCCCCCCCACAGGGACTGTCATCCTATCCTGACCTGAAGCACCATGGCTTCTCTTCTGCATTACCTGCCCCCAACCTTGTTTAACAAGTGACCGTGGCATACATTTTACTACCTCCAGAGACAGAAAGCTCACTACCTATCCAAACTGTCCATTCCAGGTACATTTTAGGTCCTGTTAGGAAGTTTTTCCTGATGCTGAGTCATGGCCCTGCCATCTGGGGTTGAGGCAAAACCATCTGGGTGCTTCTAATCAAGGGTCAAGTTCAAGAAGGTGTGTACAGGACTTAGCTCTCACCCATGATCAAATTTTGTCTCATCCTTCCCATCCCTCACTTACAGCTTGGCAGCAGCCTGTATGAATCCCTTTACTTTTATTCGAGCTCCAGGTTGGAGGCTCAACCCCTCAAGGTGAACTTCCTGAAAAGACCAAGCAGAGGAAGGTTAGGGCTGGCTGGGAGTCGAAGGGAGTCAACCTCCAGGAAGGTTCTAGGATATCAGACACTATTCCAGGCTAGTTAGAGCTCAAGTGAGGGTGAATCCCAGCTCTGTGACCTTGGGGAAGATCTTTCCTGTCTGTGGGCCTCAGTTTCCCTATCTGTTAAGTGAAGAACTAGCCTAGATGATCCAGTCTACTCCTCATTTTACAGGTCAGGAAACTGAGGCTCAAAGAAGCAAGAAGGGACCTGTCCCAGGTCCCACAAGTGAGCAATATAATCAGAACTGGAATCCCAGTTTTTCTTGGGTCCCAGGTCCATGCTCTCTCTGTCACACTGACTATCCCATCACTATCTTTGGCTAGTATCACACCTGTCTTGGCACTTGGGCATAGATGAAGGAGGAAGGAAGGAGCCTGGTTCTATCCCAAGGGTGCGAGATAGACTATAGTTCAATGGGGAAATTTCCTAGTACCTAGGAAAGCCTTACCTTGCCTCCCCCACATTCCCCAGCCGTTGTCCTCCTCCTCACACTCCCAGAGCTGCCTCAGCTCACTTAGCAGGGAAGGAAATCCTCCCCAGGAAAGTTTTCAGGAAGAACTTCCCCCATTCCCCAGGGTCAAGTACTGGTCCCAATCCAGGGCACAAGGCAGCCATGCCCAGGAGAAGGTGAGTTGGCAAGGGAGGGGGAGGTTCAGAAAAGTTCAGAATCAAGGGTGACCTTGGCAGAAACATTAAAGTTAAGGAACTTAGCTTCTCCTGTCCCTTATTCTTTCGGGCGAAGGTTAAGGGAATCAGGGCAGCACAGATGTAGAGTCCCTTCCTGTTCTAAATCAATGGAGAGGTAATGGAGGGGTGGGCTTGGGAGGAGGAGGGTAATCTTAACAACTGGCTTCCTAGAGAAGAGGCAAGAAGAGTATTTGTGACGTTAATTCGGTCTAGTTTTAAGGGTTTGGGGCTAGAATTTGGAAGGACCTGAGGAATCACTTGTCTCCTGTCCCACTCTGTTGGCCATCTGCAGCCTCCTCCTTTTGCTGGAGCCTCCTCAGCCTGAACTCTTTTCATACAATCAGGCTGGATTGCAGTTAGCTCCATAAGAGGCTTTCGTTCCAGAAAGTCTGATCCTCTGACGGAAGATTCATTTCTGCCCATCTCTTCCCTTTTCCTTCCTTCTCAATTCCAGGAAGGGGATTCCTCCATGTCCAACCTCCACCCCCGGCCTCTCCCCCCCCCCCGCACCCGCCACACCCATGTAGATGTAGCCCCTCACAACCCTGGGACACTGTAACTCTGACCCATGTCAAGTCCCACTTCACCCTTGCTCTCCCTTTCCCCTCTCCCAGAGATCTGCCTGTACTTACCATCTTGTCAAAGACGTCAGATCAGCAACCAGTTAGAGCCGACAGCTTCAAGGTGAGGGGAGGATGGGAGGGGCAGCCCTTGCAAGGGCTGAGAAGACCAGGGTGAAGGGAAAGAGGAGAAGAGAAAAGTGCCCTAGCTCATCTGGAGAGGAAAGGGAGAGCGTCCCCATTCGCTCGGAAACTCACCCTTCTCGAGTCTCCGGGATAATTTGCAAGCATCAACCCCAGAGGATCCCCCACCCTCGGACCCTCAGCCTATAACCTGGACAAGGACCTCCGCAGCCTATATCCTGGCGCACTCACTTGGTTCATAACGTAGGGTGAGAAATTCTCCTGCGATTCTCCTGGCTGCGCTGGGTCCCCGAAGGATAACGTCCAGCGCAGAGGTGGTGAATCAGGGAAGCGTCGGAGCCTTCAAATAGAGGGTCGGGCTCTGGGCTTCTGTGGAGTCCAGAGCAGCACCACACCCCAGCCCCGCCCCTGCGAACTTTTCCCGAAGCTGGAGTACAAAAGGGGAGGGGCCGGCGGAATTTTTGAAGCCTTTCTTGGAAGATCAGCCAATCAAGGTGGTGACACTCCTTTGGCCACAACCCCTCCACACCAAGCGCAAAACTTTTCTAGCCTTTTCCCCACATCCAAACCCCCAAAACCGTCCTTATGGGATGAGGTTGGGGTGAGCGGTAGAGAGATTGAGAGAGCCAATGGAAAGCTAGTTTCAGAATGAACAGGAATCTGATATTGGCTGGAAAGGGCTGGGGGTATACTCTGGAGGGAAGGCTGAACTCTGGTCCGAGTCAGAGTCAGACCCTTGGCCTCCAAAGAGTCCATCTGAAGGAGCAAATCCTAATCAGAAGATGGCAAACCATGGAGTGACCTAAGAAACCACCTGATTTCTTAACAAATGTGGAAACTGAGTCCCTAGGGTCACTTGGGAGGAGAGGAACTGAACCAGGAACCTTTGACCAAGGCCCTCTGACCCCAAGTATGGTGCTTTCCCCCCTAGGTCCCCAGGATAGGGGCCCCAGGAAGTCTGTGACACACCCTCCCCTTGAACACCCTCAGCCTCTTCCCCTGACAATGGGGCCCAATGGAAAAAGGTACAAGGTCAGACGTTACGGACCCCTGTGATTCCGTTAAGCCAAAGAATGGTTGAGGGAGGTGATGAGGGAACATGAGCTCCCTGAGGAAAAAGAAGAAATCTTACTTTGCCCACCTTCCCTGCCCTTTCACCCCTGCCTCTTGTTTCTCTCATGAGGGGGACCTGAAGGCCAGGACCAAGAGCTGCAAGTCACTTCAATTCTCTGACCCTCAGTTTTCTCATCTGTAAATTGGGATCCTAATAGAATTAAAAGTAGGGCATCATAGTGGATAGAGATCCACTCCCTCAAAGTCGAGGAGACCTGAGTTCAAATTCACCTCCCAAGTCCCCTAACTTCTCAGTGCTTGAGGTCACTCTCCAAGATAGGGGTTCTTAACCTGGGGTTCACAGATCTCCCTGGGGACCATGGATAGATTAAAAGGAATTTGTGAACTTGGAGAGGAAAAAAGAAATTGAATCTTTCTTTTCCCTGAACTCTAACTGAAATGTACTATTTCTTTCTACTAATTGAAACAAAACATTTTTCCCAGAAGGGCTTCACCAGACTGCTCAGGGGGTCAGTGACACAAACCAGTCGGAGGACCTCTGCTCTAAGAAGCTAATTTCAGAGAAAGTGCTGACTTGTATTTGGGGGGGGGGGACTTTGGTCATTTGGGAGTTCTTTATCTGTACAGGTGATCGGGTCCCTGTCTCTTTCCTCTGGCAGAATCATCACATCTCCACTTGGAAGGGGCCTCAGACATCTTTTGAAATAAAAGCTTCTGAAACACTTCCCCAAATGGTCACCAGCCTCCCTTTGAAGACCTCCAGCAGTGGGAAACTCAGTCTCTGTGGCATCAAGTGGTTCCACTTCTGGACAGCTCCCTTTGTACCTTTCCCCAATTCCTCCTTGTTTTGCCTCTGTGACTGAGCAGGACCAGGCTCGGTCCTCTCCTATATGTCCAGGCAAGGCTCATATATGCAAACTCCACACCTCTAAATATTCCTTCTTCCATTATTCATTTCAAGGGCAAGAAAATCACTCCATAAGCCTTGGAGAGGTTGGAATAACAAAAACCATGATGCCCAGGCAGAGGGAGCTCCCAGCAGTGAGCAGGGCAGAACAGACACAGCTCCCCTCCTCCCAAGCCCCCCACCAACCCCAAGTACCTCATATCCTGAGCCTGATTCCAGCTCCTTCATCTCCCCAGTCCTGTCACCACCCCACTCCCCTACCACCAGCGCTGCCCATTGTGTGACCCACGGACAAGTCATATCTCCACTCTCGATCTCAGTTTCCTCCTCTATTAAAAAGAAGATAACAATCCCTCCCTAGTTGTTATGGATGAAAGATGAAATGATGAGAAGACAAAGGCTCTGTCTTCCAAACTTATCGATGTCTTAAGCAATGCCTGGCAATTGTCAACAAACCAGTCTCAGGCTTCTTCTTCACCTTAGAGCTCCACCCCAAATACAGGGGGAGACAGATGTTTATACATGGAAAATAATCAAATTAAGTTAATTAATTAAAAAGAATCAATACATTAGGAAATTTGATTTCTTTTTTTTTTCTTTTCTTTCTGTTAGGCAGTGGGGTTAAGTGACTTGCCCAGGGTCACACAGCTAGTAGGTGTGAAGTGTCTGAGGCTGGATTTGAACTCAGGTCCTCCCGACTCCAAGGCTGGTGCTCTATCCACTGTGCCACCTAGCTGCCCCAGGATACCTATTTCTAATTGGAGGAAAGATTAGGAACTTTCTTAGTTGGGAGGGAAAGAGTCAACAGGTGCAATTTCCTGATTTCAGAAAAAGAGGTGTCCCATCTCCCCAAGTGTCTTTATACACTCAATGGAACAGGGAAACACGATTGATAGGTACAGGGGCAGTTTTCAGAGTGTAGGTTGCTTGAAATGTAGAATTGTGGGGAAACTCTTTGCATTTATCTTTGGACATGACCAGGTGTCAGGTCAGAATAACTTAGGTCCTCAGTTAAGGATCTCTAAGCAGGAGGGAGAGGTCACCCCACTTCCCAGCTATGCAGGGCTGGGTTCAAATAATACAGTAAGGCTTTCTCCCAATTCCCACAGTTGAAAAAAGTTTTCTCCCGAGAAAGCGTTTGGACTAGACCCATAATTGAATAGAAAGGGAACCGGGCTAGCTCCAGAACTCAATCCCAAGATGGAGTCAATGTAGTTCACTCAATTCCCAGAACTAACCACTTGCTGTCCTAATCCCCTCAATCCCTTCTAATTCCCCCTTTTGATGGATGCTGGAGTGGAAAAGCCACTCCTTGCCTCGATCACTTATCTACAAGTTAAATCCACAAGGATTTTCATAAATTAATAATCAGAAGTCAGGTTCCAGATTGAACTACTAAGAGGGCATAAAATGTACTGATTTTGAGAAGGAAGATTTACCTGTCACCAAGGTAACCAAGAAAATGTCAACATAAACACTAACTCCATGAAACACAAGGCCAAAGGAAAAAAAATATGATCATCAATATTAAGTCTCCTTGTATCCTAGTAACTCACTCTCAATATACATTTAATCAGCATATTTTAAAACAAATTTCCACAGTAGTCATGTTGTGAGAGAAGAATCAGAACAAAAGGGGAAAACAAGAAAGAAAAAAAAAAGGGAAAATAGTATGCTTTCATCTGCATTCAGACCCCATAGTTCTTTCTCTGGATGTGGATAGAATTTTCTATCATGAGACTTTTGGAGATGTCTTAGATCCTTGCATTGCTGAGAAGAGCTAAGTCTATCAAAGTTAGTCATCATTCAACATGGCTGTTACTGTGTACAGCATTCTCCTGATTCTGCTCACTTTATTCAGCATCAGTTCATACAAGTCTTTCCAGGTTTTTCTGAAGCATATGGATTATTTTTGCCTGACATAGTAGGCCTTCTGAGGTCAGATTCTGAGGTCTAATCAGCCACAGTTGGACACACTGTACTTTGATCCCAACATAGTGATGTCATTTTGGTCCCTTTGGAGAAAGAAGGACAACCACCAGCTAATTCAGGACCTTATCTTGCTCCTGTCTAGGGGAGGATAATTTCTGCCCTAGCAGATGAAGGCTAGCTTACCAAAGGCAGAGCTGGATATACATTTTTCTGGAGTGGACTCAGTGAAAGGGAGCAATGTGAAGCTGGTATACATTTTGCAATCCAAGCTAATGTAGCCAGAAAGCTTTTATGCCTCCCAAAGGGAGTGAACTAGGGGCACATGACAATTCGATGGCCATACCACCATCGATGGTACCTATGCTCCCACCATGCTGAACCTTAATGAGGTCAAAGAAAATTTTATGAGGGACTGGAGTCCATCTTCATCAATGTGCCAAAAGAGGACAAGCTTCTAATTCTGGGTGATTTTATGCTAGACATGGCAGGGAGTTCTTGGGAGGAATGGAGTTGAAAACAGCAACAGCACAGTAACAGTCACTTACTGCTGTCGACTTGTGAGTCTCATGACCTTCTCAGCCCCAGCACTGTCTTCCATTTACCTAAATGCAATAAAACTTCACAGCAAACATTGGCATTTAACAGACTGTGTCATAGTGAGGAGAAGAAACAGGTAGGATGTGAGAGTGATGAAGGTGATGTGTGGTGAAGAGTTCTGGACCAATCATAGACTTGTCCTCTCAAGCTAAATATTCATTCAACAAAAGCAGGGGTCCCAAGGCAAGATGACTACCAGAAGACTTAATGTCAACAGATTGGAGCTTCTCTGAGCGTAAAAAAGGTGCTGACTTGTACTGGGGGGGGGACTTTGCTCATCTGGGAGTTCTCTATCCAAACAATGCCATCTGAGATTGGGTCCCTCTCCCTATCCTCTGACAGAGTTATCAAAACTCCAGTTGGAAGGGGCCTCAGACATCTATCAAAATAAAATCTTCCTCTGAAACATTCCCCTCAGTGGTCATCTAGGCTCCCTTTGAAGATCTCCAACAGTGGAAAACTCACTATTGATGAGATCAACGAGTTTCACTTCTGAATAGTTCTCATTGTTGGATTGAATGGACAAGTCCCCCTGTACTTTCCCCCAATTCCTCCCATTTCTGCCTCTGGGGCTGAGCAGGACCAGGCAAAATCCTCTCCCGTAGGACAACCCCTCTGTACTTGCAGGCAAGGCTCAGGTACCCAAGCCCAACACCCCTATCAATTCCTTCTCTCACCATCTATCTCAAGGGCAGCAGAAGCACTCCAGAAACCTTGGAAAGGGTGGAGAAACAATAACCATGATGCCCAGGCAAAGGAAGCTCCCAGCAGTGAGCAGGGCACAACAGACATAACTCCCCTCCTCCCAAGCCCCCCACCAGCCCCAAGTGCTTCACACACCCTGAGCCTGATTCCA